TGACAATATCAATAAATAAGAAGACTACAACAATAAATAAGAAGATTTCACAAGATAGAACACAATTATAATTACAACAATACAACAATAACAATAGAGGAGACCGTGGAAGGTGGTACTAAGAAGAGCAGAGGGGTGAAGAATGGAACCAGTTAGGTAAAGGCTTTTCTGAAGAAGAAGGTTTTGAGTCTGGATTTGAAGGAGTTTAGAGAAGGTGACTCTCTAATATCCTTGGGCAAGGAGTTCCAGAGCTTGGGGGCATAGCAGGAGAAGGCCTTGTCGCCCATACAATGTAGACGGGCTTGGGGGACAGTAAGGAGGGCAGAATTTGAAGAGCGGAGGTTGCGAGGTGGGGAGTAGGGCGATAAAAGTTCAGACAGGTACTGAGGTATACTAGTATAGGTAGTATAGATATTAGTATATCTAACACAAACACCTCCTTTTACATTTATGTCATACATCCCTCCTCCATCTCAGCTCCACTTTTTAGCTTCCCTTGACCAACTCTTTTGACTAAACAGGGTCCGAGCCTCCTCATTCTGTACCCAGAGGGCTCTCAATCAAGTGAGTTGAGCCATAACTACCCTACCTAATACTCAGACTTTCACAAAGCATCTGATTTTTGGATGTTGTCATTCCACTGGAAGACACTAGAAATATATTTCTGCAATAAAAGCTCTTTTAATATTAACTTCTCCAGTTTAAAAAAAACATTCCTGCACAAGTAATAAAGTTTATTACTGTTACTGTGGCAGTGATACTTACATGGTTTTTACATAGCAATAGGAGAGAAATTACACAGAGGCCATTGTTAAAATTGTTTTTGATATGTCATTTTATCAGGGATGTTACTTAATTCTAGTACCTGTCTGAAATCTTCTGTGAATCCTTTACCTCAGTGTTATAAGTCAAATCAAAGGAATTCAAATTACTACATTTACAAAAAGTTGATACATTTTTATTTGATTTTATTTGGATTTTGTTCATGATTCATATAAAATAAATCCAATAAAAGATACTATATATCTCTTAATTTTATATAAGACAATTGACCTTTACTTCATTCTATAATTTGTTGCATAACCAGTCAAAGCAAATCAAAGTCTGAAGATGCTAAGAAACCTCCTGCCTGTCTTTTCCCTATTATCAATTGGAATGGTATTGTAATGAGTGTCATCCAAGGTCAAAGAGGACAGTGAGACAATGTGAAAAATTGAAATTGTCACCTACATAGTCCAAAGGTTCATTACACATTAACACAGGCACTTTCTGTCACTGTCAATTCGTCTTCATTTTTTATCAATCTAAGCAAAGTCAGATGAAAGGCATCTCTTAGACTTTTGGTGTACAGAGAAAGAAAATCTTTTCTCATCTACTTGATGTAATGTTCCTAATATATGATATTTCTTTATTTTTATATATCTAGAACTGAATTTTGATTTGGATTTCTGCCTACTGTGAAAACTGATTAAATCCCCCATTAATAATAAGTATAATTAAAAGATAATATACGTCCATACATTATGTTACAATACGTTAGTATCTTATTGGATTTCTTGCCATATGCAGCTGCAGACTTGGGTTTTGGAGCATATGGCTATGTTTTAGAATGTCCAAAAAACTTACTACAAGAAAAAATAATAAAGAGCCCACCAAAATAAAATCCCAAGGGTGTACCTTCCATTTTAGGAACAGGAATACAAAGCAGAAAATCAATACAATATGAAATGGTTTAAAGTTGGCCCACTGTTCATATCTCGGTGTTACACTTGACTGATCTTTGCCATATGAGACACATATTGAGAAAATCAAGGCGAAAATGAGCTCATAGTGTAGAGTCATCAGGCAATTAGCCGACACTAAGTAAGGCATGAATGCATCCCTGCATAGGTCAAGTGTGTTGGCTCTCTGCTACACTGTGATGGAGTACGCAAGTCTCATGTGGGAAAGGTCTGTACAGTACATTTAAGAAACGCTTTAATAGCAGTGTTAAATGAATGGTGTATAAGTTTTTATATTTTGGTCAGCACTGCATTCCTGTATATTAGAAGAATGGTCATGACCACCAATGCCAAACTCTCGATTTGATCCAAGAACTCCAACTGAACATGCAGGAACCTTATCACCATTACAGGATCTTTCAGTTAATTCCCAGAAGATACAAAATACAGGGATCTAAACCTGTTAAGTGACCTGTGACCTGTGCCCCAGTTGTCACTCAGCATCTGAGCTCATCCCAGAAGTGTTCAATGGGGTTCAGGACTGGCAGGTGGGACATCCATGGCATATCTGTCACATGCTCATCTGGCAGTAAAACCATTGCTACATGACAATACTTGTTGTCCTGCTGGAGTGAAACAGAAACAGAAGCATTTGAGGACCCAGGACTTAATTATCAATTTAATTTATGTATTTGGTACCTTGCAGTTATTTGCAGTTGCAAACAATCATTACAAGTGGGGTTTTGTAACTGAATTACGCTTATGTCAAGACCTTCAAACTTGGACCTCCCTTTCAACTGGTCTGTTCTACACAACAAGTAGAATATTGTTCTATATGTCTGTGCCACAGTGGGGTGGTCTGCAAAAAACTTTAATTATTTACTTAATAAGACTTTACTACAGTGTACTCAGAAGGTGGAGGGCAATTTCCACAATGGAAGTTTACAGATGATCAGTATTTGCTCATATAGATGGAATTTATTTATATTGGTGCAACTGTATCAAAGGAAACATATACAATAACCCTTACGATATTCTTTGATACTTACTGTAAGTATATAAAGATTCGACTTGCTATATAATGTGTTTATATAATGCATTTAATAAACATCTGTGAGATGCAGTGTGCAGAGACAACATTAGAAGGGCAGAAACAAAAAACATTTAATGTTGTTCAAAGGATGGTTTAGTGCTGGCGTTGGTGCTGAAGTGTGTATTAAAAAAAAGACGTGAGATATCCTCAGGCAATTAAAATGTTTAAAAATGTGTAAAACATTAAAATATTAAAGCCACTATTTAAATATATATAACTATTATATATAAATATAAACTATTCTGTTTTTTTCTATTTTCAAATAATGGATGCATTAATAAAATACTGCATTTTATGTATAATGTTTGATAACATACTTTTAAGATAAGGGTTGTAGAAACCTGGAGCCTGTTATGAAAGCAGAGAATACGAGGCAGGACTTCACCCAGTATGGGATTACAGTCCATAACAGGACACACACACACACAGTTTAGAGACGCCAAATACCCTAGCAAGTACAGTATGTCTTTTGGAAGGTGGGAGGAAATCCAAACACCTGTTACAAAATATTACATTTAATGCTAAAACAATTTAATCGATTTAAGTAACTTACTGTATATACCATAAGCCTGAAGCACAAAAGAAAAAGTGCTAACAGCTTTCTTAAATTCATCTTAAAATGTAAGCATTGAACTGGAAATTCTATCTAAGACTTTCAAATATGTTTTATGAGAATTTGAAAGTAATGATAGGTTATTAAAAAGAGCAAACTGGTTGGGGTGTGGATTAGGTTAGGGTTATCCCAGATTTAAGGCTCTGGACATTAGTACTCATTAGGATTGTCAGATTGTCAATGCTGAATGAGAGATAAATGCAGTGTGTGTCATTATCACACACTCCTACACACACAGAAACCGTGCAGCCTATTAAAAGCAAGGCTGTCATTTATGTTCACATTTAGTTTTAAAAGCTGTTAAAAGGCAATACCATGTACTCCAGAATATGCATATACAGTATGTACATATAGTGTATTTTACTGTGGATCTGATTGAACAATTCTAAAGTAAGTTCAATAAGAGTTTCTGACACAGCCCCCACTGTCAGGATAATATGCAGGTTTCTGAAGCCTCAGGATGATTTACACTGCAGACTCCCACACCCTACAGCGAGTATTCTAGAGCAGGTGCTAATGGTTTTGTTCTTCTCTGTGGGCGACAGGGCCATTATTTCTGCAGCTCCCCATCATTGCTTTCACACTGTTCCTTTTGAAAAATACTTTTTTCTGTCATCCCTGCTGTGCTTCACAAAAAATAGGGTGTGTTCTGTTGTCTGAGTCAGTGGAATTTACTGCGTTTGTATGCAATAACAGTCAGGGGCATTCAAAAATAATTATTTTAGAGGTTGAACTTAAAGTTTCTAGAAACAACGTACCGCCAGAAAAAAAATTCTTAATATCTTCAAGTCTTCGGTTCTGAACCATATTTTGATGTCAAGATTTTAAAAGAATGTCCCAATGAGTGATAAACATATTTTATGAGAAGGAGGTTAGAGAAACCTGAAGAAAATGTAACTGCTCATCATTAAGGGACATTTCAAAAACATTTCCAAGAGTCTTCATTAATTATGTGTTTCCCAAATTAATAAATCCTTCTTCAAAATCACTATTGAATCATTGCCCATTGAATTTGGTGTTTTAGAATAATTATTTTTAGTACATATTTCCTCACTATGCCTTTCATCTTTGTTAACTTAAAGGACCTGGCATGAACGCAGGCAAAAATAGAGGTGAAAGGGAACTAGAGATTGATAGAGGTCGGCTGCTGTATTTGTTTCCAAGAGAAGAAGGGGAAGGTTCACAAGAACTTGTATGATGACAGGAAAAATTCGAACAGAAATGATGACACGTTTGGCCATGTGTAAAAATGGATGGCCGACAAATTACCCGTTGCTGTTAATCATCTTTCAATCCAAACATCTTGTCCTCCAATAACCCTCAATTGAAGCACACAGTGTTTTAATGTGCATGTCAATAACAATTGTAAATTAATTATTTGTAGTTGGTTCCCCCTGGATACGAAGCTGGTCTCATCTGAAGGCCAGGCTCAGTTGAGCAGGTACTGTATACAAGCTACCTGTCATGCAGATAAAGTAGTTAAACATTAAAATAAAGAATTACCTCTAAAAGACAAGAGAAAGAAAAAAAGAGCCCAAACCTCTGTACAAAATAACCTTTGAGATCAATTGACTTAAATTATGTAACACTACCAGCACATGGCTTTGCTATGTTAGAGACAGATATAAGCTTAGATTTACTTTCAAACACCACAAGGAAATCTGATGGTGAGGTTTTTTTTTGCTTCTGTTACGCACAGGTATTTATGGATTTCTTTTTTATACATTTTAAAATGTGTAATTGTCCTTTACAATAGAAAATGAATCCACTTTTTCCACAGCTAAGTTTGATATTTTGTCTTGGGTAACCTACAAGAGATTTGAACATGATGCATGATTTGAATAGGCTGGGACTTCAAAACGCAATGCTCTGAACAATTATATGGACTCCAGAGTACAGTATGTCCAAATGAATGTCAAAATGAAAATTTGTGTTTAGACTACGTACAGAAAGAGAGCAGAGTAACGTATCTTCAGTTAATTCTGTAATTTCTAGCCTAAATGAAAACTCACTTTAATTTTTCATTTAATTTTCATTTAAAGATCAACAGCCTTTTTTCTCTCTTTGTTTTTGTCCAGGCACAAGTGAAAATGTATTCACAGAATATATCGAATGCAATTGACAAGTCTTCTACCCATTCTGATGTCAGAGGGATTTCCTTTGTAAGTATGAAAGCATGACCACTAGATCCTTTGATTAATGTCATCTAAAGAACTGATGGATTTGTTTTTCTTGCTAGAAAATGAAGCCAGACAGTAAACCATGGCACATGGAAACTAATGGAAGTGTAACTTCGACTCCACATCTTTTGCCATCTCTGGATTACGAAGAATATGAGCAGACCCCCAAGGCGCACAAGTACCATTCGGCTTTGCAGACCCTGATTCCTTTCCGGTCACAGTCGATGTGAGATAAAAAATATTTTACATAGCATACTGTATATACTTTTGGTTATGCTTTAAAATCTGCTTCCTTTGATTATAAGGAATTAACATGTAATATGAGCTGCATATTAGTGCATTGTTCACATATCAAATCTTTTGTGTTTACTTTCCTTTGTAAGGTCTTCACACCCTATAGATGACGCTGGTTTCTTTTCATTTACTACGTTTTCATGGCTTACTTCTCTTTTATGGAAAGTGTTCAGAAACAAGGTAGATGTGGAAAATGTATCTTCTTTATCAGCATATGACTGCACAGATGTTAATGCTAAAAGGTAACTAACTTATTTTCAAATACATTAAGTGTGCTTCATTTTTGCTGATTTCGGTTGATTGTTTTTAAAGCAAATCATCCCAAATACATATATTTTTGTTATTATTTTAAAGATTTTGGAGGCTTTGGAATGAAGAAGTTGGAAGAGTTGGTATTGAAAAGGCCTCCCTGGAGCGTGTGGCTTTCCGTTTTCAAAGAACACGAATGCTAGTTGCTTTTTTGTCATCTCTTGTGTTCGTTACTGCTGCCTTCCTAGGGCCGGTTGGTATTTATTTTCTTTTTAGGTTACTGAGGGAACGTGTCTGTTGTGTAAAACAGCTTCTTTCCTGTGAACAACTTTACAAGAACAACTTCATTTTTGTTAAGCATTTTTTAATTCGGTGGAGCCAACCAAAAGAAAAAAAAAGATAATCAAAAAAGATATTTTTTATTTAAATAAAAATATTT